TTCACCCTGAAACACATTTTCCATCTAGGAAAGAATGTATTCGCATTGACCAAAACCTTCACGTTCAGCTCCAGTGCGACGAAACCTCTATGCCATTACCGCAGTGATTTATACATGGACATAATGTTAAACTCACAAAATTTAGTATGTTAGAAAATTTTCACAACTACATACAAAATGTGATGGAAGAACAACCATACTCAATTCTAAAAGAATTACAAAAAAAACATTACCAAACAAGAGGTGGTCCTTCATTTTCTGCAGAACTAATACGTTATGTCTTACCTCTGCACCATACGTCTCAACAAGCCTACAAATTATTTTTGGAGAAATTTCCATTACCATCTGTTTCTTTATTAGAAAAAATTCAAAACAATTAATTAAAGGTTTTCAATGTGAAATGTGTTCCCGGGTCATGCTAGGCAATGATATTGATGATCCTACAGAGAAACAGTACTTTGATTTACTTTCTCGGTAAAATCTTACGGTTCCAGTTAGCCAAATGGCAGAGTCGTTTGTGCTTGTTTTACCATATTTGACTATGCAGATAAATTTATAGTAATGCATAATTAATCCACTACAAAAGTCTGCTGAAATAATTTTAGAAACTTATTCTCCAAAATATTTTTTTGACTTGTTAACAACACACTGAAAAAAGAATTCACTTTGCAGCAAAAATTGCTCTCAACATATTTTACGACAGCAAACGAAAGTTTTCATTCAATGAAGTTCGAAAAAATATTGTAGAATGTTTTTTAAAAAGGCAAAGGTCAAAAGAAAATTGATTTATATAGAAACTGTTAGTAAATTTTTACTTGTATTTGTTTAGTATTACTGCTTAATTCTTTAATAACTTTTTTGTTTCTTTACAATCTTTTTAAAAAGAGGAAAAAAACGAACACCGTCTTTGTATATTTTTGACAGTTTTAACATAAAACAGGCTTGTTAGAAATTATCCTGAAATGTGACATGTGGTGCCGTATATATTAGTGGGCCGGGGTTCGATAAACATGCAATTCCCTAAATTTGCGATCTTTTACATGAATATTTTCTAAACTCAGCTTAGTTGGACACGAACGCAAACATGGAGCACCAATTGACTATCTTTGCCCTGTCGGTGGAGCCTTGATTCTGCCAACTTCAACCATACAGAGGATTAAGATCCACCAAAAGGACATCCGACCAAATAAATGCTTAAAAAATTAAATATAAACGTTCAATATCTATTAGATATTACTAATATTTGTGCGCATTTTCGATAATGAAAGCAAGAGATGCTACATCTAGTTTTAAATGATTAACAAAAATAGGAGACTTATCCGATTTGTATCAAATTTTCAGTATTTATTCATTAATGAATGGCTTCTATTTTCAATAGGACATTATTTTAGAATGCTTTGTGAATAGATTTTTTGAGGCGGGGTCAGTTTTATATTAATATTAAATAAACCAATGCAAATTACTACAAAACAAAAACATTAACCTGACGAGTCGAGTGATGTTCTTAAAGAGCCTCGTCAGATGGGGATTTTCATATAGATGCCATGCATTTTGCCAAACCGTTCAGAAATATCTAAACTCTGATACAGCCTCTTTCTAAGATCAATGATTAAAAATGGCTTTCAGTGAGTGAAGCCTAAGTGTTTTGGCAAAGATTATCTTTCTTTGAACACTGTGAACTGACAATACAGAATCACAAAGAACAACAGAAACCACATCACTTGATGAATACCAACAGCAGCAACAACTAAAATGGATAGCACATGTAACTCGACGTGAAAATAATGACACTGCTTCAAATGAAATGTTAGGAATAAAAGTCCCATCAATACTGGAAAGAACGATAGCAGCTACTGAACCTATTTTCTTGAAAGATTGTTTTAAGAAAGATTTTATAAACTTTAACCGAATGCAGTATTGGCTGCTCGGTCAATGAATGCCAAATGTTTACTTGTAGGGAAACGATTAATACTACCATTCCCATTACTAACAAGGTTTGACATGTCTTAAAATCTACCAGTCTAACTATTCAGTTGCAAGGGACTGCCAGATTATTTTGCTAACAACTGCTACACAATGTTTTCTCAGTGACTATTTTCCTATTTCCGTTTATTTTTAAATTTTTTAAAATTTTGTTTTACTTTTATTTTATTCTCTTTTATCCAGGCAAATATCTTTTTCCTTCTCTTTACATGCCTACGCGTCCTCGTGTATGTGCCTGTGTGTGTGGGCGTGGTTGTGTGTGTGGGTGGATAACGAAAGAGAGAGAGAGAGAGAGAAATAGATATACAGACAGCGTGGACATAGGAAGCAATATTGCACGGTGACTGTGGAGAAAGCAGCGGAAACCAGTACTATATTTCCGAAGATGTCATACTAATTTACGGATGTTAAAGAAAAGTTAGCTGTGGAGAGTCATTATCGCCTACGTCATGAAGAGATATAGTATTATTTTTTTTATAAATCATGTGCTAAGTTTGAACAGTTTTGAGATTCTAACCGGGTCCAGGACAGATACAATGGTTATGCAAAGGCATGGACATGAAAATAGCGTGGTGGTATTCAAAAGGGAGGAGGGTTCAAGAAAGCTTCCAAGTAAACGAACAACAATAGAAATATGAAAAGGTAAGGTCGAGAGCAAAAGTATATATAAAAGAAGTTGATAAAAATATGAACGAAAAGAGAACAGAAGAAATAAAAGGTGATAAAGAAAATGCAAGTCTCTGTTCCGATAACAAAAGATTTCCCTGACAATAATAAATAAATCAATAAATTTGACTCTCAGTTCATTGCAATGATGAATATCCATTGAGGAAATAACCACGGCGCAAAAACAATCAATCATAACCTGTCTTTGAGAGGCTGGCAAATTTCACATATAACTGACCACAGCTTTGAGAGCTACAAAGTGTTTTTGTCCGCTCTCTGACAGAATATCTGACATGATTTTTAGATTTACTCTTAGCACCGCGCTCACCCTAAATAGCCAGTTCTTCAAGGGGTTGCAAACGCTAGAAAAGTACTTACCAACAGTGCTTCATCGTGCAATATTGGGGTCGCGTTAGCGATGAACCATTGAGATATTCGATTATCAAAGTAATGGTGATTTAAGGCAGCCACACAGACTTGTTTTTATTTCCTCTCACACTTTTCTATAAATCTACTCGATACTACTTAAATAGAGTGATCCATTCGTAAAAAAAAAAAAAAAAGAAATTTTTTTTTTGTAGATCATTCACTAGAGGTTCCTTAAGCCGGGACAATTTTCAGAATAAAAAAAAATATTGATTTTCTTATTTTTTTTATGTGTATTTCTTTTGTGTGTGTTGCTACAGACCTATTAAGTATATATAAAATAAATATAGATATTATCCCTCACCTGATGGTTAATATATATATATATATATATATATATATATATATATATATTTTAAATAGGTTTGAATCGGTACAAAAGCGTATTAAGGCATTAAAAACAAGAAATTTTATATTGTAGGCCATGATAAGTTTAAAACAAAACACACACCAGTCGACCGTTTCGTCCCCTCTCGTCAGATCTGTTAACGGGGAACTAAGATTATGAGGAAAAGAAAAAAAAAAGTCTGTCATGGATGACATGAATGAGTGGACAGGGGAAAAAAAATATATATATATGGATTTAATTTTAATCCGACATTATTATTACTTCAAATGTTATTATAGTGGACACTTCTTATTTGAAATAAACACCTCAATTTTACTTTATTAAACGGTGTATATTACATCTATTGGCCTGCGCCTTACTTGTAGCTTTCGGAAGCACAGGCAGATAGGCATAGTATTCATTGTTGAATAAGTAAAAATGGTGTAACTATTTCAAATAAGTTGTATACATTATAACGTTTATATATATATATATATATATATATATATATATATACAGAAAAATTACTTAACTGTAAATATCATTTATTGATGTTGATGTTGGTGCTTTTGTTTACGCTTTCATTCTTAAGTGCCATAATTATGAACACGTAAGCAAAATTCATGAACCAGATCTATAGGGTCTGTCTTGCTATTAACCAAAAGTTATGAGAGATGGATTTATAGACATATATATATATATTATTTGCGCGTAAATGAATATAATGAATTCGACTGGAATTCGAACTCGGCTCTCCGATTTTTCATTCTGAGCCTCTATCCATTCCACCACCGCGTATGCCCGTAAAATTGCCCCACAAACATAAACAAGCCAACGCCGTAATCACTGACAATCTAAATGACAATTATAACTGTAAGAACAACAAAGCTATAGTGTACTTATATAAATATATATTTGTTATCAGTAAGCACACACTCCCACGCGTACAAACATACACACGTATTTACAAACACATGAACAAATATACAAAGGCACACCCATGTTCAAATATATATACATATACAAATGCTTATACATCATACGTACTTGATCTGTTTCTTAGTAAAGAAAATGTAAAAAAGATTTGGGAAAAAGTTATAATTTCAAGTGTTTTATGTTTTTTTTTTTTTTAAATAACTTTTCCTTTTTGTCCGTGAAGTGAGGACGAATTAATCTTAGACGTCTCATCGCACAAATCTTAAACGAGGTTTACCAAAATGCCCGTTAGGTAGTGTACTATAAAAGAAGGAACATAATCTTCCTTTATCTCTTTCTTTTGTACCAAAATGTCAGCGTCAATATAGAGTGTATTGACGCTGCCATATCTTTCCCTCGAGCGACTGACGATTGAACACACACACACACACACATACACACACACACACACACACACACACTCACACACATGGGTATCATCGACGCACGTAATTTCTAATAACTAGATTTTAATGTTTTCCTTTTCTTTTTCACACTTTTATATTTCTCTCCTTTTGTTAATCATTTATTATTTTATTATTTATAAAGATATCTCCATATTTCAATGTCTTCCTTCCACTCGTTTCACTTTCATTCCATTTCCTTTTGTCTCTATAACGGCTTACGGCCATATAGCGTTGAAACACCAGTTCTCGTGCGATCACTAAAGTTAAGCAAAGGTGAGCCTGGTCAGTACCTAGATGAGTGACCGCTTGGGAATACCTAAAGTTAAGCAAAGGTGAGCCTGGTCAATACCTAGACGAGTGACCGCTTGGGAATACCAGGTGTCGTAAACTTGGATACGTGTGACTGGTGTAATGGATAATGTCTGGGAATTGTTAATCGGAGAGCCGAATTTCAGTTGTGTTCGTTATATTCACTTACCCTTATGAATCGACCTCTTCTCTCTCCAGCTATGGGTTAATTAGTAAATATCTTATCACTATTATCTCAAAAAAATCTTACAATCTAGAAGTGTTTTTTAGGTTTTAAATAACTTGCAAAGGGTTGATAAGCCGTAGAAAACGAATCAGTCTTAGCTCTGCAAATGAGGACAATTTTGTTTCCGCTGCTTTTGATTGAACCAGAAGTAGGACCGCAGTAAATGTCACAAGGCAATGGGCGTTTAATACAGCATTGATAAGAACTATCTTTTCATTAGGACTCATTTAATAATTTAATAATTAATTTAATAATTAATTTAATTAATAGGACTCATTTAATAATGTTGCTGATATTAAAATATTCGAAATGCATTTATCAAAAACGGTAGAACAAAATTTTATATTTCCATTCAACTTCCGCAATGCAACAGACGATATCACTAACAACCTGTCATGATTAAAGCTCTCTTTCTCAAAACAGATTCAGACAAATTTTAATTTCTGTCTATATTTTTGAGATGAGGTGCCCTAACTATTTACGCTATTTACATTGTTCGAACTGTTGTCTTCATCTTTATTGACATATCCACGACGTTTTTTGTTGTTGTACGCTCCGGTTTTCTTCAGGTAATTGCAATTTCGAACCCAACCCTTTATTTCGTCCACGGTGGGGGGGTAGATTGTTCTAATTCCACGTGTCATGCCTCTTCCGGATATCACATGGCCCAGTGGATAAAAGCGCTAGTTGAAGTAATTCATTCACTTGACCCAAAGAGTTTTGAGAACAATAATTGTCCACAACAGAGGTGAACAAAAACTTGGAGAGTTGAGTTACTAAAGGGAATTAACTGAAACTGAGATATCCAGAAGAGGCATGACACGTGGAACTAGAACAAACTATCCGGGTGAACGAAATAAAGAGTTCTGTTCGAAATTTCAACAACTGAAACGTCGTGGATAGTTCGAACAATGTAAATAGTGTAAAATTTTAAGTTGTAAAAAAAGGACTCTACTATATATGCTTAAGATGTGATCACAAATTTTTATCGAAAAAAGAAAAAATGGACATAAATTGCAAGCAAAGCGAAAAAAGTCTGAATTACAAATGCAAAGTCGAAATACCTACAAAACCGATCTCCGTCGTATTTAATCCACGACTTAACCTCTTCACTTGACAATTGTTTATTCAAATTTAGAAGTCGGCAGATTCGTTTCAAAGTAACTAGTTCAAACTGGAATAAGCTATACAATAAAATCTACACCTGAACGGACGTTCACAAGAGAGATTTTTAGCGAAGGCAGATCAAGTTATCATTTTTCTTTTATGCTTGTTTATAATCACAGTTGTGATATTTCTAACGTTTAGCTGAGTCCATCAAAAAAGAGTACGAAGATTATGTCACCTTAGAAGTCGGAGGGTTTGTCTTACTTGTAATCAGCATTCGAAATCCTGGATTTTTTATCTTGGCAGTAGTACTAGTAGGAAATACTCAACTACTTCAGCCACAAATCAACGATTTATCATGATCATTATTTTGTGTGAAAAGAAAAAGGTAACACGAAATGAATCCCCTTATTTCACATGGCTTTGTGTGTTGTAGAGTAGGACTCAGCGTACTTCCTGCTTTTCCATACTGGACTGCTCCCACTTAAAAATATGGCAAGTAGCCACATTAGAGTAGGATGTGAGTAGTATTTGATTTACTCAACTCTTTCCGTTCTATGTAAGACTATTTAATAAACCCCTTCTTCTTTGTTCCCTCTACCTAGTCTTCTGTTCCTTCGATACTCTAAGTACGGACTTCCTAATTCTCAGCTATTTTCAACAAAGACAATATTACAACATTTTATTAACTGAATTATCTATCTCAGAGTTTATTTTTCGTTTATTTTATTTATTTTGTTGTTATTTTTTTCTTGCTCCGTTCAATATTTAGTTAGATTTATTTACACTGAGACAATTATCTTCTTTGTTGTTGTTATCACCACGCTTCGGCCGTTATGCTCTCCGGCCTTCATCAGATGTTTGTCGATCCGGGTAAACTTCAACTGAACTGAACTCTTTATTTAATCTATGAGGGAAGGTTGTTCTTGTTTCGCCGAGCATATCTAAGGATATCTCATCTAGTTCTTATTCAGTACAGCTCAGTTTTTGCTCACCCTGTTTCCACTGAGTCTAAATCTGAGCCACTACTATGATCTACAGTCAGGATTGAGCCGTGGGATAATCCTGAATGTATAATTCTCCCTTTCCGATCTTCTTCTTCTTCTTCTCCTTCTTCTTCTTCTTCTTCTTCTTCTTCTTCTTCTTCTTCTTCTTCTTCTTCTTCTTCTTCTTCTTCTCGTCTGGACACTATTTTTTGCTTTTAACTACTACAACTATTATTATTATTATTATTATTGAGTGAGTGAGTGAGCGAGCAAGTGAGTGAGTGAGTGAGTGAGTGAGTGAGTGAGTGAGTGAGTGAGTGAGTGAGTGAGTGAGAGTAGCATATCAAACAAATTGACACTAAGGTACAAATATCAATAAAGTTCAATCTGCCCATCATGACACCTAGTCTGATGAATGTATATCAGTCACATATGTGCAACATGGGAAGAAGTATTACAGTCACAAATATATTCGGGTAACCCAACCCACACCCACAGTCTCCGATTTGAAGGTGTCCACAAGTATCTAGATGTGATTCCCAAGTCGCCTTGGATAACTCTTCCTTCTAACTTAAAAATAAACAACCTTCACGACACTTGGCTATGATGTTTCTCCACAACTCATAAACAGGGATGTACAGTGCATCAGTCCCTAGAGGACATGCTCGAACGATGATGATTAAGCAAATGACAAGCAAAATTGTTATTACTGAACGGGATATTAACTGTGACGCATCTTAATTTCTTAAGAAAGAAATATTTACAATCAATTAAAATGCCATGAGAGCAATGCATGGTCATTATTATTATTATTATTCGCATCATAGTTATCTGATTAAGTGATCAAGTGATAGGATGTCTCCTCAAATATTCATCACTTTCTGTAATATTCACGCCAATTATTTCAACAGTGCTGTGGCTTTAATTGTTTCAATTTCTCTTAAGATATCTACCGGGGGTGATAAAAATATTTACCCATTGTGTAAATATAAAAATGCATCCATTATTTAAGCATAAACTGAAATATACCTATTCGTAAAAATAGTTTCAAATTTTACATCAGGCTTCCTGACATTCTCTTGTTTTACTGTTTACAGTTCAATGAAATACGGCGGCTCAAAAACATGGTCAAATTGTCGTCTCAAAAATAGCGGATATGAAGAAATCTGAGGTGATAAAGTAATCGAATATTTGCAGAAAACCTTTTTCTAATGTGTGAAAAAGGTTTCAAAGGGTGCAAACAACCTCATTAAATCCGATTAAAAAATAGTTTTCAACCGCATTTGGAAGTCGCTATGTCTTCACTCAAGACGGAACCCCCACACACAGAGACAATTTGATGCAGAACTGACACAAAAGACATTTCCGTGGATCTTTTGACAAGTCAATTTGACCCCCTTTAAGCACTGACATTAATCCAATAGACTTTGCGATATGGCCCATATCAGAGAGCGATGTTTCCCGTATCCCATACTCAAGTGTGTCAGACCTGAAAGAAGCTCTTATGATGGTGTGGTACAATTTGAGCAAAGAGGTGGTGAAAAAGTCATTTCATTTTAGAAAGGTGAAAGCAAAGATTGACTATTTTGAATTTTAAATATATGCAAAATAGTGTCAATAAATATAACAATTAACCTGTAAACTTTCATTAGCCAAAATAAAAAAAATTTAGAATTTAGTATGATTGAAAGAACTGCCAGGGGTGGCATATACATTTACCCATTATTCATTTTATCAAATAAATGAATAATGGGTAAATGTACGTATATACCGCCTATGATGGTTCTTTCAATCATACTTCAACGGTTTACTCTCTTGGACCGTTTACTTCGACTAAATAGGGAAAAATTGAACATCTTAAATTTCAAAATTACCTTAGTTTTGTTTTATTCAACTTCTAGTTTGTGCTGATACCATTTATTTGGATAGTTAGATCCAATTCTCTTGCACAGTTCTTATTGCTGCCCCTATCCTGCCGTAACCATTATGTTTATTAATACTTTAGGCTCTTATTGAGTTTTTACATCAGTATTATCCTATGGCTTTTACTGAAAGTCAAATCTCTTCACTGTTGCAGCACCATCCCCATTTTAGTAATGCTATAGTCAAAATGGTTTTAATTCTTCCCAAGATTTTTGATTCTTATATTTTTGTAAGATGTTTCAGAAAAGTTCCCAACAAGACAATAATGATCGCTACATTTGAAACCTTTGTATTCTGCAATTTTAACAGTTCTTTGACGAAATTCTGATATTTACTCAGGTCTTCACTCTAATTTTCACGATGTGGTTTGCTGAAGCAACGTAATCTTCAGTCTGTCAAATCCTCTTTTTGTACGATGACTAGATCTGGTTTTCTGACATAGTTTTGGTGGCCCGTTTAAATTTCAATGACCGATAAAATTTTAGTTTCCCTGTTCTCGAGATTTTTGAAGACACTATTTGCTTGCAAGATCAAATCCAAGTTGGTTAGACAACTCCTAATGGATCACCGTTCCTAATCTTCTTGCTCCTCTTCTAAATCGATTTGCTTATTACATATTTTCATTTCTGGAAGTATTGTTTGTACTTTACACCAATAGTAACTGGTAATTATCGCTAAAGATCAAATGACATCGAAGCCAGTTCAAACCAAAAATGGAATATTGCAATCATATTCGGACCGGTGCTACTCAATACTCATATTCCAG